CTCCTCCGACTGCTTTGTGGCTGCCATGGTCAGCTCCGAAAAGAGAGAAAGCGAAACCGCACGACGAGATTTAGAGGAAGAGAACAAGGGCGTCTCTTCCTGCAGATGAGGCGCGCTGCAGTGAGAGGGCAATAGTGTACGCGGAGACACTGAATCACAGCGTGCGTACAAATTACGATCCGTCCTCCCTGTGTATCAATAAATCAGTATCCAAATTCCGGAAAAAAAAACTTAGAAGCCTTGTCATACCAGTCCGGAGACATGCCAAAGTAGTCCTCCATTGCGTCTTCTCCGTCGTCATCCATGGCGGTTGGCTCCTCCATCGTTTCGTCGTCCATATCACTTTCGTACGTCAAACTAGTCGTACAAAAAATAATAAAATCAGGATACTTTTTCTCGATATTCAGGATAAAATACTTTAATACTCACCCCTTGCACAGACACGTGAAGTACAGCACTTTCTTCTGCACCTTGTTGTAGAAAAAGTAGTTGAATGACCACCTAATAGTGCATATCAGATCAACATCCGTAAATAACGAAACTCCGTTCCTAACATCCATAAATACGCACAGATTCCCGTCCGAAAACGGGTCCGAGTCCATGTCCGGAATGTAGCTGTACACGTCGCACTCGTCGAGCTTGATAGCCTCCGCGATAGCCTCCCACATCTTCTCCACGAAGCCGTTACCCTCAGCCTCCAACAGCTCGGCCAAGTCGTGGTTAATGCGTTGCAGCGCTATCCGAAAGTCCGGCTCCTTTCGGAACTGTTCGGGTTTAACGGCGCTGAAGTCGTAGTCTGGGAAGCTGGCGTTCATTGTGGAGATGAGGTTGATGAGCAGCTTCCGCGTGGCTGGAGCGGCGATAGGCCCAAGAGGAGACGAGCTTAGCAGGTCGGCGGACGCCTCGATCTCCTGCTGGTAGTACAGCTCGAGGCTCTTGGCCAGGCGCTTGTCGCTACCTGCCTTCTTGCACGAGTACGTCTCGATCTTGCCATTGAGCACGCGGTCGCCGATCTCGTAGCTGCCCAGCACCGAGTTGAGCCACGACAGTTGGGGCTCCTCCAGGTACTTCATTACGTTATTTACGCTTTGAGCTCTTCGGTTGCTTGTTGTAAAGTGGCGTTTTCGATGCGATTAGGCGAGTCTGAAAACACCTCTACGATTTGATTCTTTGCAGGTCGCGAAACATGGGTGCGACATTTCGTTCGCGGAGTCAACCACAAACAAAGAAATTAAGCAGATGAACCTACCGGTACACTCAGCAGACCTTTCAAAACCAATAATTTGAAATAAAGCTGTATTCAACGTGGTGTACTTGACACAACGCTGATGTGGAATACGTCAGTTCCATGTGTCATACATCACCTCATTTTCACTCTTATCCAGCATGAGGCGGTCGGCGTTGCGGCGGCCCGAGAGCTTGACGGACAAGTACCGCATCTTGGGCAAGATTGGTGAGGGCACGTATGGCATGGTGTTCAAGGCCGAGTCTCACTCTGCAGCTCTGTTGCCACGTCCTACCTCGGGCGGCTCGAACGCCGTCGAGGATGAAGAGCCCATGACGTTCGCCATCAAGCTGGTTAAATCCCACAAAGAAGGAAAGAACGACGTGGTGCTATCCAGCGCCACTGTTCGCGAGATCAAATTGCTGCGAGAAATGCATCACGACAATGTGATGCACTTACACGACGTGCACGTGGACCCTCGGGACAAGTCGCTGGCGCTCGTATTCGAATATGGAGACCACGACCTGCACGACATCATCGTACAGAGCAAACAAAAGCCGTTGGGCGAGTACACGCGTAAGTCGCTCATGTACCAGATCCTCAAAGGTGTGGACTACATGCACGACGTGTGGGTCATGCACCGAGATATGAAACCACAGAACATTTTGGTGGTGGGTCATGGACGCAAGAGGGGACAAGTCAAGCTAGGAGGTGCGCCTTTAGATCCTTGTTTAAAAGCTGGTGGACCGGGTACTCATTCAGATGTGACTTGCTACTATACTAGATTTTGGTCTAGCGCGTATCTTCAAGGAGCCGATCAAGGCCTTATCAGATGTGGAGCGTGTGGTGGTGACGCTCTGGTATCGAGCACCGGAGCTCCTACTGGGGGCGAAGCATTATACAAAAGCCGTGGACTTATGGGCCGTGGGCTGCATTTTCGTCGAGCTCATCAACACACGCGAGCTCTTTTGCGGTAAGGAAGTGGAGGGGTCCAATGCTCCGTTCCAGAAAGATCAGCTCGATAAGATCTTTAAAGTGTTGGGCATGCCGACGCCACAGACGTGGGAGGGACTGGAGAATCTGCCAGAGTACAATCACGTCGTGCAGATGGGTCGTGAACGCAAATACCCGACGCAATCTGAGCTCAAAAACGCAGTCAAAGTTGGTCCAGGCCGCGCAGGAGCTGCATTGCTCGATTTGCTTTCGAGACTGCTGGAATATGGTGAGTCCCTTGCTTTGCCTCTCTCGATGTACTGCCTCGTGCTAACTTCTTTGCTACCTGCAGACCCTGAGACCCTATCACGGCAAAAGAAGCGCTCGAGCACGAATACTTCAAGGAGATTGTACGTAGTCTTGTGTGTTTGTTCCGCGGTCTTGTTTAACCGAACATCCACTTGGTTATTGAGTAGGAGCCTGAGCCTCGGGACTGGGCCTTTGACGAGCCGGGCAAGGAGCCTGTATCCTTCCGAACGCAGACTGTGGAGCCCTTGGCAGAGGAAACTATCCCTTGGAAAAACAAAAAGGACGGAGCGCCTGGAGCCGACAGTAAGGCCGCAGGAGCAGCCAGCCCTCGCCCCTCGCAGCATCACAACGACCATCGTGGTCGTGATGGCGCCTCACGTAGTCGCAGTCACCACAACTCTCGAGACGCACAGCAACAACCTCAACGACGC